TGGTCCTCAAAGATTGAAATTGTTGCTGTTTGCATGTTTCAGATATGGAGGAACGTTGCAAAACATTTCTGTGAAGCTTCCCATCACACTGAACAAATTTTTCCAGCCTACAGAAATGGCCGCTCAAGACTTCTTCCAGAGGTGGAAGCAGCTAAGCAGGTAAGATGGTTTAGATCCTTCACAGCCATTAATAGCACATGCTGTGTTGCTTTAGTCTGGTGGTGCCTACCCATTACCTTGAGCCCTTCCAGTGGTGTATGAAGGTGTAAATTATTTCATTAGTCAAGCTGATGTAGAAGAACATTGACCTCCTTTGTACTAACGTCTCTGCAGGATTGTACTGGAGAAGGACAAGTCCTTCATTTTTCCACAGCTAGCTGTGCATAATACATTTCTTTTATTTAATTTTTTTAACCCTACTGTTCTTCATAAATAAATCCAAAGCAACTTATAAAATTACTAAACATTAATAAAAGCATTTCCAGAATCCCTAAAAAAATAGTATATAGATCAAGATGAGTTTTTAAATCAGAGAGAGAGAGAGAAACATTAAATGAAATCAAAAGTTCAGCAAAGTAACGTGCCTGAAGCTTATAAGGATGAGAGTTCCAAGATCTGGGTGCTGCAGTAGAAAAGTATCCCAACCAACTGTGCTCCAGAAAATGTTGGAACATATAGCAGGACCTCCAGTGTTGAATTCAGCAGGTGATCAGGATCATATGGGAGAGGGAGACCTTCAGATATCCTGTTCCCAAACAGTTTAGGGCTGGGGGTTGTGGTCCTCTAGATGTTGTTGGACTCCCAGTTTCCTTTGGTCCACACAGAATGGCCAGTAGTCAGGAATGGCAGGAGTCTACAACATCTGGAGGGCCACAGCTTCCTCATCAATGGTTTAGGGCTTTATAGGCAAGAACCAGCAGCCTGAATTGTGCTTGGGAAATTGTGCCTGAATTGTGCTTGGGAAAACACTGGGAGCCGCTGCAACAAAACTGGAGTGAGGTGATCAGTAAAGTAAGACTCCAGAAACCATTTTGCACCAGTTTAAATTTTCCAAAAGTGTTTCAGAGGACACTGTATGCAGAGCGTGTTCCAGTTATCCAGTTTGGGTGTCACCAGAGCATATGTGTCAATTACCAGATCTGCTGAATGTTCCTGTCAGTAATTGATAATGATCCATATCTTTCCCTCTTCCCAATCCCCTAGGGTAATTTTGCAGTGTTTTAAAAACTGGTCCTGCTTGATAAGTTTACATGTAAATTTAACATTTTAGTTGATTTTTAAAAGGTGGTCAACCTACCTGAATTGTGGGTGGGTTGGGTGGAAGGAGGCAAAACAGACTGCTGGAATCAATATTTGGTTCATTGGCTGAATGATGTCCTTTTTGTGAAGGCAGGAGGAAGCTGATGTAACCCTGCAGCGAAAAACTGCTTCAAGCCTCAATTTTTATAGGTTCAGTTTTAACCACCCCTAATTTGCTGGTTCTATATGAAATGCTGCCTAACTCTCTCATGTTTGTACTGTAAAACCAAAGCAAATGTTAACTACTTTAACCTTGGTGCTACTTTGCAGCCCTCAACAGGAAGTGCAGAACATCTTTAAAGCAAACCATCCAATGGATACCGAAATTACAAAGGCAAAGGTGGGTAGCAGGTGGCTGTTATCCTCCTCCTCCTCCTCCTCCTCCTCCTCCTTCGGCTATCACTCATAGCCGAGTAAGATTACTCACCATCACAAGGTGATGATCGCACAATTGAGATCGTTATCACCATTGCTACTTGGGCATTTATAACCTGCACACTTCATTGCTGTTGCTCCCAGGGTGCTTTGCCAGAAAATAAAAATCATCTGCAATAAAATAAAATGTGTCAAGCAATGTTAAAACAAAAATGTAAATGCATGTAAAAACACACACACTGCAGCAGAATCAAACCCAGTTTAAATTGCATTTTTTAAAGTTCTGGGCAAATAAGAATAAAAAAGCTCTTTTCCTAGCCCCTCCAAAGGACATGAGCTTTGACTTCGGGATATCATTCCATGGACAACTGTGAGCCTTTTCTCTGAGTACTGCTCATTTCTGACAAAAGAGAATCTGGAGAAGCATACAGGAAATTTTATCCACATACAAGCCCACTTACACACACAACTGAGGTATGGATATTTGCAGTGGAGATGCCTATGTGCAGTTGGGGTGCTAAGTTCTGGGGAAGGTTCTGCACATAGAGACCTGCACATAATAAATAGGCTTTCTTCCTGCAGGTATCTATGCCTAATGTGAGAAAATCATGTGGTAGGGGGAAGTACATGAAATGTAAACTGCCAAATGTTACCAGTTCCTTTCAGAGCACAAAGGCTTGTTTGTGCCTAGACCAGGCTTCCTCAACCTTGGCCCTCCAGATGTTTTGAGACTACAATTCCCATCATCCCTGACCACTGGTCCTGCTAGCTAGGGATCATGGGAGTTGTAGGCTGAAAAACATCTGGAGGGCTGAGGTTGAGGAAGCCTGGTTTAGACTTTGTAGGGTGGTTCTTCCAGATGTCTGTCTGTTGTCTGCTTTTTGTAGGTAGAAGCCTCATGAGTTGTAGCCAGCAATCAAAGCAGCTGAGTTCTTGAAACTTAAATAACCCATTCTGAAAGCATGCAAGGAGTCCAATACAAGGCATTTTGGGGAAAATCTAGTGCAAGAACCACTGCTCCACAGATATGCTCCCACTACAATTGGAGACATTCCTGCAAGAATGTATCTGTGGAGCCCCAGTTCAGAGTCTGGTTGTGAGGGGCTGCATGGAGGTTGTTGACCACCATTTGACCTGCCGTGTGTTCAGCATGTTGACCAAGCCCATCTTTTGTAAGGCCCTTTCCTTCCTTTCTCACCACCTGCTCTTTCTTTTTCATGGTCTCTGGTTCAAATCCCCTTTTTGGCTTTCCTTTGGCAGATTATTGGCTTTGGCACAGCGTTACTGGAAGAAGTAGATCCCAATCCTGCTAACTTTGTCGGAGCCGGCATAATCCACACAAAATCATTCCAGATTGGATGTTTGATGCGTCTTGAACCCAACCTGCAGGCACAGGTAATGGCTTCTTGTTTACTTGCTGAATGTTTTGAAAGTGTGGAAGAGCAAAACGGAAGAGATTTTTAAAAATATACCACATAGTTTTACTATGCCCACTTCTGTGACTCTAGCGTGCATTCAGCCAATATTATGTCTGAGGTTGTTTTCTAGGAACAATCAGCCAAGACAGAGTGAAATATCTTGCGGCTGTTCTATGGTTCCAGCAGCTGTGCAATTATTCTGCTTCCTCGGTTAACATAAGACATAATGCATTCTTTTGAGACCCTGCTTTGGAAATAATACCTGGCAGACAAGTGGTAAAAATTGCTTTGCTGTGACTAATTTGCCTGTGTGCAGTGCCACATGCAAGTCTACGCCTCTGCTGAACTAGACTGGAACATTCTAGAACATGGGTAGGCAAACTAAGGCCTGGGGGCCAGATCCAGCCCAATCACCTTCTCAATTCTGGGCTGCATCAATAAGAGTATAGCATCTAGATCAAGGGAAGTAATAGTGCCACTGTATTCTGCTCTGGTCAGACCTCACCTGGAGTACTGTGTCCAGTTCTGGGCACCACCGTTCAAGAAGGACACTGACAAACTGGAACGTGTCCAGAGGAGGGCAACCAAAATGGTCAAAGGCCTGGAAACGATGCCTTATGAGGAACGGCTAAGGGAGCTGGGCATGTTTAGCCTGGAGAAGAGGAGGTTAAGGGGTGATATGATAGCCATGTTCAAATATATAAAAGGATGTCATATAGAGGAGGGAGAAAGGTTGTTTTCTGCTGCTCCAGAAAAGCGGACACGGAGCAATGGATCCAAACTACAAGAAAGAAGATTCCACCTAAACATTAGGAAGAACTTCCTGACAGTAAGAGCTGTTTGACAGTGGAATTTGCTGCCAAGGAGTGTGGTGGAGTCTTCTTCTTTGGAGGTCTTTAAGCAGAGGCTTGACAACCATATGTCAGGAGTGCTCTGATGGTGTTTCCTGCTTGGCAGGGGGTTGGACTCGATGGCCCTTGTGGTCTATTCCAACTCTATGATTCTATGATTCTAATCCGGCCCGTGGATGGTCCAGGAATCAGTGTGTTCTTACATGAGTAGAATGTGTCCTTTTATTTAAAATGCATCTCTGGGTTATTTGTGGGGCCTGCCTGGTGTTTTTACACGAGTAGAATGTGTGCTTTTATTTAAAATGCATCTCTGGGTTATTTGTGGGGCATAGGAATTCGTTCATCCCCCCCCCCCCCGTATAGTCTGGCCCCCCACAAGGTCTGAGGGACAGTGGACCGGCCCCCTGCTGAAAAAGTTTGCTGACCCCTGCTCTAGAGCTCTAAAAGTAAAGGGCCTTAGAGCACATGCCTTATAGGCAGAAGATGCCTGGTTCAGTCGCTGGCATCTCCAGGTAGTGGAACACTTGTCAGAAATCCTGGTGAGTGGTTGCTAGTCAGTGTAGGCAGTACTGAGCTAGTTAGACCAATGATCTGTTTATGAGGCAGCTTCCCATGTCACCATGTTTCTCAGGTTCACTTGCCTCAAGGGGTAGGATGAGCACCCTTCTGCCAGCTTCTCTCAGTAGCAGCATCTAGTGGGACATTCTCTGTATGCTCATACATCTTTAGCACTTTCTTCTTGCCTTTACGTAGGGAGCTTATTTCCTTGTGTGATACCTTTGTGGAAGTTGTTTCTTATCCCCCCCCTTTTTATGATTATGTACAGCCCAAAGTATACTTCATTTTCATTCTAAAGGATAACTGGGTTATTTTAAAATGCTGTTGTACTAAAACCGTACAGCACTGCTTCTCCAAAAAGCTCTACTTTTTTCATGGTTGTTGTCGTCTTCTTTGGCGATCACTCGTAGCCAAGTAAGATTGTCTTCCATAAACACGGTTTTAACAATGAGTCCGTGACTCTTATGTCATTTTGTGAGCGGTGGGAAATAAGCCAAGTGGTAACGATGCACCAGTTTATACTTGCAGCGGAAGATTTTGGAGACACACCAGCTAGGAAGCCAGACAAAATTTTTTATTGTCTGTCCGTCTCTCTTAAACAAGGAAACTCCTTAATTCCACACAGATACATCTCAGTCCACTGCCACCTGGTGACTAAACTATGTAATGACACTATTGGTGTTTATACCCCACCCTCCAGCCTAAAAAAGTTCCCAGAGAGCTTACAAAGATTAGTCATGGAACAGTCTTTGTTCTAAGGCTTGCAATACCAAATACATGATACAGAAGAGGGGGGAGAGGGTAGAAGGGGCAATAGGCAAATTCTGGCACTGGTTCTTAGCTACATCTTTGGTTATCTCTCAGTGAGTGAAACACTTTCATCAGGTGTGAGTACAATATTACTGGATGTTGCATTCATGGGATCAGCCCTCTAGGGCACCAAAAATATCCTGGCATCTCATTTGGACCTCGCTGTAAAGTAAGGCTTTGTGGGGCGGGGGGAGGTCCTAGATGACACCCCTGCTGAGAACCCAAGGAGAGCCCCGTTTGCCCAGCCAGCCTGTGGTCCAAAACTTTCTTTAGAAAGTTGATGAGGAAAAGGCCACAAATAGGACATAAATAATTAAATGTTGCAAAGATTTTGTGTTTTTAAATGTACACCACCAGCCACTGTTCACTTCCATTCAGATCTTACCTGTATAAATGTGTTGGGGGGGCGTTTTTAGGGGGGCAGCCACTGAAAAGTTGTTCTTCTGTTCTTTTCCAGATGTACAGATTAACACTACGGACAAGTAAAGAAACGGTGTCCCGAAGGTTATGTGAATTACTTTCGGAACAGTTCTGAGCCATAATGTGCAACCCCTTCTGATTCTCCATTTCTGCCATTGTCCATGTCCTGCTCCAAAAATGTTTTGTACACCAGTGTCTGCAAAAATAATTGCCACCCCATTCACATCCCTGCCTTAAAGGACCTGTCCCTTTTTATGTGAAACAAATGATATGTGCAACATAAAATTACTTAAATGTGAAAAAAAATAAAATGACTCTTAGATTTTTGGTGCAAAGAAGCTGGGAGGTCTTGTATGTGTGTGGGAGGTCTTGTGTGTCTCAACTCAACTGTGCTTCATATATTTTTGGCAGGAGTTGTTTTATTAAAAATCACTTCAGGTATGGTTAATCCCAACTAAATGAAACAGTTTCGCTGGAAATGCCACTGTAAATTGCTAGAGGCATGCTAGAAGAAGGAAAAAAAGGTATGAAAGAGAAGTTGGTGTGCAGAGAGGGCTAGATTCCATTCCTGCTCTATTGAATGTTACCCCATGTCCTTTTTAAAGGATCTAGATACATCTGAAGATGGCTATAAGTATTTGCTCTGTAAAGAACATTTGGAGGCATAAGCACATATTCTGATTCATATTTTAATATCCTCAAATGACTTCCTTTAAATCCCAGGCCTCCACTTTTCTCCAAGTTCTGAACTACCAAAGAGTTATCGTCATGATAAATGCTTAAGTAAGAAAACCACATTGGGTTCTTGGGTACAACATGTTGTTGTTGTTTTTTCCAAAGCTCTGGTTGATCATCTAAACATCAGTACACTTTGACTTTAAATTAAGAAATCACTTGAAGTATTCTTTTACCTAAGACTTTCCAAGCAACCCAAGGCATTGGTATTCCTGCCCCCCCCCGCACTTTCCAGTTTAACAAAAAAAGAAGAAAAGTATTTTTTCCCCATTTAACATCTTCTGAATCATAGGGATAGCCACTAGCTCTAATCAGGGAGAGTTTAGCCTATTCAGATTTGAAATACACTGTGGGTTTCTGCAAGTATGATGGGCAGGAAGCTTATTGCTTTGAAATGCTTGTCATGTCACCAGAACACTTTTGGTCTAGAACTTGACAGTCCTGTTTTCAAAAAGTGTAGTAATGGCACCTGTAGTTTGGTAAGATCTATGCATTTGTGGAGCATGCTGTGGAACTGGCATCTTCTTTGACAGAAGTAGAATGATCGATAAACTGACTACCGTTACACACCTCTGAAGAGCTCCTTAAGAAGTAATTTATGACTACAATTATATACGAAGGCAATGCAAAAATTAAAAAAGTAAAATAAGCTACAATGTTGTTTGATTACAAGTGACAGTTGCTGCTTGAGTTATGAGGCGTTTTAACAAACAACAACGTGGCTTATTCTGTCCCAGTGTCTGGAATTAACTTATAAAAACTGAAAATCCACTTTCCTTTTTAATGTGGCTATTGGATCAGAATCATATTGACCAACTTCTCCAATCAAATTTGATGAGTTATATTGAAGCACATTGTATGGAACTACCTGGTGTGTAACCTGGTAAAATAATAAAACAATAACTCTTACATTCTCCTATCACTGGGGAAATTTTTAGGAGTTGTCATTATGACAGGCCCATTGCATTACTGTGATTACACTACTGTAAATGGTATTAAGCATTCAGAGGTGTTCTGAAGTGTGTCTTATCGCAGATGCTGGGAAGAACGGCCATCTCATTTTTAACATAGATCCGTCCCACTGGAAGCATAGTTTGTCTCCTTTTTAATTCCACCTTAATACACTGTTTTTGTGCACTGTTCACTTGTATAATTTTTGCAAATAAATGTGGTTTTATCCACAAAGGGTGATATTTAACTAAATTATACTCAGGGTAGGCCATGTGAAATTAATGGACTTCTTAGATAAGTCCATTGACTTCAGTGGATTTTCTCAGAGTATGACTAACATTGGATATCATTCATAGAGAAAAAGGACTCTAAATATAGGTGGCTCAATGACCAACTGTATATATGAGTAATCAAACTTTATGCAAGATTTCACCTCTGATATGAGCCATATAGGCATTGTTTTGAAGAAAACTTTTTTTTAAAAAAGTTTCTCTTTATTGGGATAAATGACCTTGATTTACCAAAGTTGTGTGTCCTCCTCCATCTCAAGCAGAAGTTAACAGTTTCTGTGGCTAAAGCAGTATTAGTAATTAAGGTACAGTATTTGTTTTGTTGACATGTGAAAATACCTGAACAGGAAGACAAAATATTGTGCACTTTTAGGCCTACACTCCAATATGTAATGTGTAGTCATCTCACTTGTAAAAAAAAATAAAAATCACAAGCTTATATGGTGGGCTTTGATTATTATGACTGTAAAAAAATTGAAAATACAGTATATAAAAAAACTAATCATGTTATCTTTAATGGAAAAAAATAAATGGCTAGAAGAGTAAAAATTCCTTTCCTTTTTTCATTCCCAGAGCATGACTTATTTTCCTACCTAGTAGGGCTAACAAATGTGAAAATTTCATTTTACAGTCAGCGTTCAGAATTACGATTTAGATAAATACAAAACATCACCACCTACTGTGCAGAGGAAACGAAAGCCTGATTGCATAGGACAAAGACTTTGGCCCTGATTTATTTATTGCAACTCTCCAGTCCTCTTGACCATTGAAGCAGAGTACTTTTGAGTGTTTCCCAGCCAGCAAACTCATAACTCAGCGCCTTCCAGCTAAATATGCTATTTATTATTATTATTATATCACTCATTTCCCCCCAAGCTATTCCCTTTCCCCCCTTTTTTTCCTGGGTCTTTAGGGATCTGCTTAGAGTGAGGTTGGATGAAGACATTAGCCTCTTGGGCTCCCTGCATTAGTGCTTCCTGGCTCACATTTTCTCTGATCTAATGACAGAAATGAAGCTCACATGGATCTGTACTTCACCTACTTCTAGTAGTGCTAAGAGGTGGGGGCAGGGCACATGCAAGTCTCAGGACCACTCCTTGGCTTGGCAGAAGTAGAACTGCAGGACATGTAATGTAATGAATGAGTAGCTGTTAGGCTTTAGTGGAGCACCTCTGCTATAATAAAAATAAAAATAAATAAATAATAAGTGTCCCGTGGCAAAATGAGAGCATCCAAATATAAGGTAGTACCGTAGTTTACTAGAGAGGCTGCCTGGGTATGTAGAAGTATAGAAGTTTGAATTAGGAGAAAAGCCCACAACCTGACAAGGATTTGCAAGCTTCCAGGAGTGATTGAATGCTGATGGCAGATGAGGCTAATATAAGCCATAATGCTCTTGAGGCATCAGGCATAAGCCTGCATTTTATTAATGTTTGATCAGGGCTTGTATATTAAAGAGGGCTTAGATTTTCAAAAGTTTCATGCCAGGCAGACCAGCGGCTTAAGAAAACACTGGCAATGTTTTCCTCCTAGACAAGGGGCCCCTTGATTGATAGCAGAAAACAATTCTCAAAGTCGTAAAAGCTGGAATTACAAACTGAGTAAGGACACTGACCCTACATGTTACAGAAGATAACAAAGGCAGAGATAAATATAATTAGGAATGAGTAAATAGTAAAATAATGCCAATGTGCCTCCCAGTAAAATGAGCCAGATCTTCTTTCTAAGGTTAAAAGGCCAAGACCAAATGGAGAAGAATCTGGCTGGCAGAAAGAGAGGCTTTTTGGGAAGTCTTTTTAAAGCATTTTTGGGAAGTCTTTCTAAAAACTGTTTCTTTCTTAAACTGAGAGAAAAGGCAACTGGCTTGGCTGGGGAAAAAGAAGCTTCTTCCTATTTTATTTTGAGGCTGGAAGGGAGGGTGAAAGGGGAAGGTGTAAACTAAAGAGCCTTCTTTAAAACTGTTTTTTTACTGAGTTCCTTCCTTTCTACTTTACAAAGGCCTTATTCCTTTTAAGAGGCTACCTGTGTTGTGTATTAAATATATTGTCTTAAATGTAACTATGCAAAGGATTTAGAAAGTAACAAATTTAGATGTTAGATTCTTATTTCATAGAATCATAGAGTCCTAGAGTTGGAATAGACCACAGGGGCCATTGAGCCCAGCCCCCTGCCAGACAAGAAGACGCCATCCAAGCAGTCTTGATATATGGCTGTCAGACATTTGTTTAGAAACCTTCAAATGAAGGAGATCTTTCAATGTTGATGTGAAACTCAAGATCCTTGACATATGTTTAAGATAAAAATTTAAGATTAACCATTTGTTTTAGAAGGCAATAGGGCAAGGAGGGCAAGAGGTGAGCTGGTAATTAAGATTCCATGTAAGATATATTATTACTTATTTGTCATTTATATATAGCTCTTTGTCTCCCTTATAAGGACAGGAGGATATGGGTGTATCTTTTTGTGATTGGTTCTAGCAATCAGCCAATAGGAAATCCAACCAGGCTGATTGGACAGAGGCAGCCCAAGGAGGAGCAAAGGGGGCTGGATTAAGGGAATATAAGTGCTGGCCATAATGGCAGGAGGCCAGGCCAGAGCTTGGTAACCATATACCACTGTGCCTCTCATTTATTTGTCTGACAAATAAATTATTATTTTAATTTCTCTATTGCTGCGTTGAATATTTCATTCCAGCTAAGCGTTAACCACAAGCAGGGTGCTACACTTGCGTGTGCAGAGGATCCTTTATTTATAAAGCAATCAAGATTGCAAAGGGGAGGAGAATGCAGCTGACAGGACAGGCGAGAAAAGAAAAAGATCAGGGAGTCTCAGTGCATTTTGAGATTGTCAATTGCCAACGAGATGTTCGTTTTAATGCAGACAGGGAATTGTCACAGCTGCATTTTCCTGGCATGGTGGTTGGTTCCACTTCAGGCCTGACAGGCATGTAATTGAACCCAGAGAAGATTTGCTTGCCGCCGTTGAGAGAAACACACTTTAAAGGGCACTGTCATGTCCTCCCTTTCGTGTTCAGAAATATCCCCCACTGTTCGCTTTACGTAATGAATGTCTCTTATTTCGGTGCCCTGCCTTTCACGTCTATGAACAGTTTAATGGGGATCTTTCAGTCATTCGGAAGGTTTCTACAAACAAAAACATGTCCAATATCCAAACGGCCTGAGGGGAAAACAACATTCTTTCCTGACATCAAGTTTTGCAGGCAGCTGAAACTCTAAACAAAAATTGACTGAGAGGAGACAGTGGTGAGGTCCATCAAGAGATATTAACTACAATAGCTAAGTGGAATTAAATCTCCACATCCAGCGGCAGCGGACCTCAGAGCACTAGGTGTGGACAACAGATGAGAGTTTTCATTCCTTCTTTGAGAGCTTGAGAAGATCCCTGCTGGTTCAGGCCACTGATAGCTTTATCCTCTCTGAATTTGCCTAATCCCCCTTTAAATACACACACACACACACACACACACACACACTTTTCAGGTTTAAACATTTCATTAATTTTACTATCATTTTGACATTTCAAAACTTGACTTCCTTCCCCCTCTTTCTGCAGTTCCTTCAATTTATTTTTAATATCTTCTGCATATTAACCCAATTTGCTAATTTATTCATCTTCTTTAAACATATACTCTTATGAAACTGCTGGTTATTACAATAAACCTGCCAATGTTCTTCTCTGTTTACAATTTATCTGTAAATATTCGATACACCATTTCCATTCTTTTATAAAGTTTGTTATCTTGATTTCTTATTCTTCCAGTAAGTTCCACCATTTCTGTGTACTCTATAAGTTTTTGTATCCATTCTTCCTTTGCTAAGACGTCTTCTTCTTTCCATTTTTGGGCAAGTAACTTTCTTGATGTAGTCGCATATGTAGGAAGTGTCCCGTTGCACCAGAAGTGATTGAGTTCTGCTGGCCACATGACCTGGAAAGCTGTCTGTGGACAAATGCTAGCTCCCTCAGCCTGAAGCGAGATGAGCACCGCAACCCCATAGTTGCCTTTGGCTGGACTTAACCATTCAGGGGTCCTTTACCTTTTTTCCTTTTCTTTTTTTACCTCAAGGACTGCTTCTTCCCATATGAAGCAAGCCAGACCCTGTGATCATCATCTGAGGTCTTCATCATGTGACAAATCTGGAGGTGGCAATACAAGAATGAGCCTTTTCTGTGGTGGCTCTGCATCTGTGGAATGCTCTTCCCAAAGAGGCTTGCCTGGTGCCATCATTACGTGTCTTTAGGCACCAGCCAAAAACATTCCTCTTTAACCAGGCCTTAATAATAATAATAATAATAATTTATTATTTATACCCCACCCCCCAGTCACTCTGGATGGCTTCCAACAGAATATTAAAATACCATAGTTTATTAAACATTAAAAGCTTCCAAAAACAGGGCTGCCTTCAGATGTCTTCTAAAAGTCTGGTAGTTGTTTTTCTCTTTGACATCTGATGGGAGGGCGTTCCACTACTGAGAAGGCCCTCTGCCTGGTTCCCTGTAACTTGGCTTCTTGCAGCAAGGGAACCTCCAGAAGGCCCTCGGCACCGGACCTCAGTGTCCGGGCAGAACGATGGAGGTGGAGACGCTCCTTCAGGTATACTGGGCCAAGGCCGTTTAGGGCTTTAAAGGTCAACACCAACACTTTGAATTGTGCTCAGAAACGTACTGGGAGCCATTGTAGGTCTTTCAAGACTGATGTTATGTGGTCTCGGTGGCCACTCCCAGTCACCAGTCTGGCTGCCGCATTCTGGATTAGTTGTAGTTTCTGGGTCACCTTCAAAGGTAGCCCCACATAGAGCGCATTGCAGAAGTCCAAGCGGTGGCCATTAAATAATCTACGACTTGTTAAATGTGTGTGTAGGTGGGGACTGCTATTATGATTGTTTCATTATTGTGCTGTATTACGTGTGTTCTGTTTGTATTATTATGCTGCGTAAATTACGTTCATAATGTGGGAGAAAAGGTGGTATATTAATCTAATAAATAAATAAAAATGGTGGCTGCATTCTGGTGGCTGCTGAATATTAGACTTGCTGGTTTGATTGAGCAATGCCATTTTAATGTTATTGTGACACGCAGCCACAATGGAGGTTTGTGAAGATCTCATATTATCTTTACCATAAAATTCCCAATGGAAATATCCTAAGTTTGATGGCAGAACAGGCTGCCCCAGGGTCATCCTTTCCTGGATGATTTGAACCATGGACAGCCTGTAGGTGCATTCTATAGATAGCCCTTCATGATTCTATGTGAATAAATCAGCATTCCAGTATTTTATTAGGAATCGATCAAGATTATAGAGTTTTCCTAATGAGTAAAAAACAATGTGTGCTTTCTTGCTTATTATTATATCTGATTAAAACCTCTGGATAACTTGAGTGGGATCTTGCACTTTCACCAACATAAGCTATAAACTGCTTAGG